TTGGGAGGGGTTTGATTTAGTATGATTTTGGATGAGACGGGGTTCTGTCATTTTAGGTTGAGGAGAGAAAATAACGTGTTTGGTCATGGCTTCTGTAGTCGAGTGGTCCGTACGAATGTATGGGTTACGGCGCTCATAACAGGACCTTGTGCATAGTTCAGGAAATAGGTAATAGTGGGAGCGATCCTATTCTAATTAGTCATTTTATTGGCTTTGTAGTGCTCGTGTTACGGCGTATTTTTCGTGATGTATTTTGTCTCGATTCTACGTGCCAATCTCATTTTAAGTGTATCATAAATTTTTGTTTTTCTGAAACATGCTCTGCGAGGTGTACCTGGAAAAATCTCGTCGTTTGTGTTTGTCAGTCTGTCACCATATGCATATCTTCGTTTTTTTGCTGTATGCATATGCAGTAGTGGGAGCGGTCGCAGTCTAATTAGTCGTTTTAGAGTGGGTTTATACTGCTTGTGCTAAGGCATTTTTTTCAGGATGTAGTTTATCCTTATCTTTCGTGTCATTCTACTTGGAGGTGTATCACGAGTTTCTGAAATTTTCTGCAGGGTGTTCTTGAGAAAAGTAGTGTCGTTTGTGTATCTTAGTCTTGTCGTTATATGTTTTTTTTTTGTTTTTTTTTTTCCCCTTGTTTTCCACGTTTTATTCGTTTTTTTTGTTTTTTTTTTTATCGTTTTTTTTCGCGGTATTCTTTACGCAGTGAGCTAGTTCTTTGATTTTTTGTATTTGTGCACGTAACTGTGTTTATATGTGAGTCCCATAATTTTTATTTTGTAAAAAATAGTGTATAGGTATCGTCTTTTTTTTTTTTGTAGAAGTTTTTAGTTGAGTTTCAGAGGCACCATCGTCTAAGGATATCATCATTCTGGCGAGCATGATTTTGGGATAGGCATATTTAATATGTGAAGGGAAGGTGACCAACTTGTAAAAGGAATTAAATATTTATCCATTTAATTTGAGTCACATAATTTGTATGTTTTGTGTAGAAGTTAGTATATATAACTGTAGCAGTTTTTAAGTTGAGTTTCTTAGTCACCATCAACTAAGGATATCATCATTCTAGCGAACATAATAATTGGCTTATTCAATTTGTGAAGGAAAGACGGTAAATTTGAAGAAAAAATATATATATTTTATATTTTATATTTATATTTTTATAAATTATTTAATTAAATTTTAACTTTATTTACTTATTATTTTATTACTTTTTTTTAATTATTAATTTATTATTTAATTATGATTATTTTATGATTTTATTATTATTATTATTAGGGGTAATTTCGGCGCAGTCACGAAAACAGTTTGTAATTGCATTCGAAACTGCGTTTTAGCAGTTTAGTCAGGGCCCGAGTTTCAATTGCAGTTGAAACTCGGGCTGCCTTTCCATAGCAGTTCAGTAAGGGCCCTCGTCTATCCACGAACAGCAGATTTTAAAAAAAAATAAACATTCCTTATGCTGTGAATTCGTTCCGATACATGATGCTACAACACTTGTTTGGAACTCAATGAAGCGTGGAATCCGCCCTGCCTGGCTAGCAGGGCGCTACAGGGACCTCACAACAAAAAACAAAAAAAGAAAACGACATGTTTTATGTTCCTCACTTCCTGGCTAGAGACATTCGTCAAAGCACTGGTGACCTGACGGCCTTCCCGACGTAAGTGGATTCGAAGTTCCTCGTTTCTTTACTTTTTTATTTCTTCTTTTTCTTTTTTCTTTTTTTGGCCTCCATCCCTGCCCCGAGAACCCACTTTTCGGAGTAGGCTACTCTGGGGACTTCGCGTTTGCATGTGAAGGGTAGTGCCTGCGAATCTTTGTTGTGGCCGAGACATCTCGACCCTGGCCAATCTGGGGTGTGGCCGAGACATCTCGGTCGTGGCCAGTCTGGGGTGCGGCCGAGACATCACGGTCGTGGCCAGTCTGGGGTGTGGCCGAGACATCTCGG